GTAGTGAATGAATAGCAACAAAGACAATGAGAGAGGGTTCATCACAAGACTGATCAACAGGTATACAAAACAGTTTCAATTAATTAATTTTTAAGTTTTAATAACCCATATAAAAGAGCATTTAGATAAAATTGATGAAATTAAACTTTTAACTTTATCCAATCTATTGTTGATAAAATGTTGATGATCACAATCCAAGAATTTGTTTTTACAGATAGATCAGAAATTTTTTTAAAATTGACTTATTTTACATTTTGGTCGTATTCTGAGCAGTTCTTTCTCTTCATTGATTGTTTAGAGACGGAGGTGATCTCGTCAAATGTAAGAAAATGTTCTGTATAAGATGGAATATCTCAGCAGTTTATAACAATAACTATTATTAATAAGATGGACCAATATAAGAATAGACATTCTATAGTTTATAATGGTATTGTGCTTCTGGTGTGCGCTTCACCACATCAAGTCGTAGACTCTAAAAAAGATGAATTTTATTCGTGAAAATGCTTGAAATTCTTTATCTTTCAACATATTACTCAACAAACAAAAAGACATGAAGACATATGTTTAATGAAAAGTATGATTAATTAGTGTACAATGATCATTTTCAATAGTCCTTTTGGTTAATAACTGGATACTTCAAAGAATTGTTTTTTTTTCTGAATCAAAATTGATTTCGGATTCATGGAGAACATCAACAATTATGTATAAAAATAGTATTTGATTGGATATGTCACCAATATTATTGAAAAAATAGTAAACTAACAATACCTAACATTACTTTACAACATATATTTACGAGCATCCCGGAATATCTATACATTTTCTGGTCGAAAGATATGAGATTATAGAATTTGTTTTATTTGGCATCACTCGATTCGATACTTCAGTAGCACTTTTTCTATTTTTTGTTTTCTTTTGTAGTTGAAAATATTGCAATAATTTCTGTTGTCATTAGCAAAACTGTAATACTCTAAAAGTTTAAGTTTGTCGTAATCAATTTGCATCATCAATTGACAATATGAGAGTGTTACGAATGGCATATTTCGATTTGGCGATAAAAAATATTGCATAAGATATATTTTCGTAGAATATATTTTTTTCTGAAAAGCCAGTCTTTTTGTTTGTTGAGTAATATGTTGAAAGACAAAGAATTTCAAGCATCGTCACGAATAACATTCATTTTTTTAGAGTCTACGACTCAATGTGATTAAACGCACATTAGAAGCACAATATCATTATAAACTATAGAATGCCTATTCTTATATTGATCTATCTTATTAATAATAGTTTTTGTTATAAACTGCTGAAATATTCCGTCTTACACAGAAAATTTTCCTAAATTTGACGAAATTACCTTCGACTCTAAACAATCGATGAAGAGAAAGAACTGCTCAGAATACGACCAAAATGTAAAATAGGTCAATTAAAAAAATATTTCTGATCTATCTGTAAAAAATTCTTGGATTGCGATTCTCAACATCATGCCAACAGTAGATTGGAAAAAGTTGAAATTTTAATTTCATCAATTTCTCTCATTTCTCTTCCATATAGGTTGGAAAAACTAAAAAATTGATTAATTGAAACTGTTTTGTATACCTGTTGATCAGTCTTGTGATGAACCCTCTCTCATTGTCTTTGTTGCTATTCATTCACTACTTTTCTGTTATAATTGTTTCACAGTGATTCATTATATGTGATAGACTGCTCTTGTTATTTTTGTTAACTTGCCATACTGTTTTTTTTGTCACTCTTGATGATATATTTTGGTTTGTGGTGAACAGTTCTTCTTGTCTTTCTCTTGCATTTAATATACTATCCTTCATTTATTACTTATTATGGTTAATAATTACCTCTATATGTTGTTGTATTTGTTGTTGGCTTTATATTTTATTTTTTTCTCGTTACTTATTCTTGTCATTGTTAGATGATTTGTTATCATCTACTATTTTTCTTTTTTCTCATGTGATCCACTGTATTTCCTTCATTGTTATTGGTACGCTTGTCTGTGAAGAAATAAAGATTATGAAAGTAAAGCAAACAATTGAACTATCGAAAATAAAATTAGTTCAAGAAATCTCGCATGGGTTAATTAGCGGATGCGGTTCTAATTTTAAAAAGTCAGTTCACCGGGATAAAAAAGTCAGAAAAATCTGGTCAACAAAAATTTAGCTTCAGTTATAGAAATAACTCAATGTCCTCAGTTTGTTAATCGAAAATTACGGGATTGAATAAGTGAAAAGAATATTAGTGATTCATTTCGTGTTTCTGAACACTTATTACCTTCGAGAAGTTCACCATGAATTATCAAAGTTGAAAAATATCTTCCATATTACAAACCTCTTTGTGTTGAGTAACTAAAGATGGCGAAACACAGTGAGAATTGATTATGTCGCGCCTTTGTGTAAAATTTAACAGAAAGCTGTCTATCATGAAAGCGGATGTCTGTAATACAGAGAAGAGCCGCAAAACCTAGCGTTAAAACTTACACTCACTATTTTCCTTCCAAAAATTTATGCCAGTTTCACAAAAACTATCACATTTACTTTACAAAAGTAAATGGTAAATATTTTATTTACTTTACAAAAGTAAATAGTAAATACTTTATGGATGTGGATGTAGGTTGAAGAGATACCCACATCCACACCCACCACCTACATAGTGAATAAAAGAAAAAGACCATGCGTATATGATGGGTGTACATCAGAGGTAAGGAAAAGATCATGCATACATAATGACATAATGTAGAAGGAAAGGAAAAGACCAAACACATATGATAGGAAAGGACCAAAGAATATCAGAGAGAGATTGAAAAATGAGAAAAACAACAAAGTGTCAACAATAACCTAACACTTCACTTGGATTCATATCATTTTGTAAAACGTGCAGTAAATCTTCTTCATAGTAAAAGTAGCGTTTCAAATCTACCAACGCTAAATTAAAACTTTCTAATGCATAAACTGCAGCCATATCGTCTTCTATAGTCCATTCGTTGCCTTGTGGTTTATCAGAAGTTGTTTTGGTGATGTGGTCATCATATTCATTTGAATTTTTCTCGGCGCTGCGTAACAGAGTGATGATCAATGATTTATTCATACGTGTATCAGTCCAAACAATTTCGTTTTGTTGCTGAAGTATTGCAGCAACATCACGCGTATCGAAATCAAAGACACGTAAAACCATAAGACGAGCAACACTATCGTCTTGAGAATCATCATTATCTTTTGTAAGTTGAAATCCTAAGGCACATTTGACAATAAATGTTTTGTTGTACATTGAATTATTATTGCATCCTTAAAAAAATGGTAATGATCAAAAAATCATTAATTCTAGAGGCTCATTCAATGATGTGTCGACTGTTAATGGAAAGACCTCGCGATATATGGTTTTCAGCTCGTTTGATATTATGCAGAGTTCCTATAAGCCAAGGAGATAATATGATCGAAACTTGCTTAAGGCTGCCTTAGAAATTAAGAATAAGACAAACCTCTACGGTTGCGAGACTATTATTTTGAAACTTCCACTCATATCCAATGGAATAGGATAAGAAACGCTTCATTTTTAGGTACATAAATAAAAATTTTTATCATATTTGGCTAGCAAAATTACCATTTTCACATGACTCCATACGCAAAGATATAATGATTATTTTTGTTATTGAACTAGGGAATATCAACAATTCATTTAGATAATCCTGCTTTTCCAAAGAGATGTAGCGTTGTCACTCGCCTCCAACCAAACTGACTAACCACCCAGGTCGATGATTCCGGCCTCCGGATCCTTCCGGAACCAGCCGGAAACGGTATAATTTCCGGGCACTTCCGACCGTTTCCGATGTCTTTCCGGCCGGAAAAATACCCGGAACATGCAAGCAGTATTCCGGCCGGAAATTTCTCGTACACGGAAACGTGATCTTCCGCTCATTTCCCATCACCGGAAATCCGCGGGAAAAACCTCGTAACACCGAGGAATTCGCCGGAAACCAAGAAGGAACCGGCCGTTTCCCGCGGGAAAAACGTTAGAAAGATTCTTGTGAGATCTTTGAAAGATCTTTTTTTGAGAGAAAATTTTCTTTCACAAAAATTTTCGGTGTTTTGGAAAAAGTATATTTTTTCTCAGAAAGTCCGTTTCTGTATAAAAAAAAATTTCGAGAAAAAATTTTCTTTTAAAAAGAGATCTTTCAAAGATGTCTCATAGTATTTCAAAGATCTTTGAAAAATCTTTTCACGAAAAAAAAAATTTTTTCTCAAAATTTTTTTTTTATACAGAAACGGACTTTCTGAGAAAAAATATCTTTGAAATAGGATTGTAATAACTCACTTAGTTAATTCCGAGTTTTGGAAGAGTGCTTGAAGTTGGCACGACATCGGCTCTGTCTTTCCACATTACGTACCGGGATTCGAAAGACTTTGAAATAGAATTGTAATTACTTACTTAGTTAATTCGGAGTTTTGGAAGAGTGCTTGCTGCGGGCACGGCACCCACTCTGTCTTTACATATTACGTGTCGGGACTTTGAAGCCTTTCAAAGACCTCTGAATTCTTAGAAAGATCGTTGAAAGGATTATGATAGATTTTGCACACTCTCCTAAAGATATTTGACAGATCTTTTAAAGTCCTCGAAAAGTGTTTGAAAGATCTTTCAAGGTCTGCGAAAGTCTCAGAATGGCGTTTGAAAGATGCCTGAAAATCTTCAAAAGTCTTTGAAAGATCTTTGAAAGGGTTTTCCAATGGCTCCTAAAGTTATTTGAAAGATCCTTTGAAGTCTTCGAAAGGTCATTGACAGATCTTTCAATGTTTGGGAAAGTCGCAGAAAGACGTTTGAAAGTCGTTGAAAGATCTTTCAAAGTCTCTGGAAATCTCACAAAGATGTTTGTCTGGTCTTGGAAAGGCTCCAGAAGTCTTCCAAAGATGTTCGAAAGATCTTTCATTGTCTTCGAAAGGATATTGAAAGATGTCTCAAAGTCTTTGGAAGATCTTTCAAAGGTCTTTGAAAGACCAGATATGGGCTTTGTCAACGAAATGGAAAGAGGTGGAATATAACCGGATCCTGTGATCAGGACGAAACTCCGGAACTGTAGTTAGGAACCGTACCGGAAACGGCAGGTATACGCCTCGGAACTGGTCAGAGTGATTTAGAAGAGGAAACTTAGTCTGGAACCGCACCGGAAACGACGACTGTATCTGAAGATCGCATCCGGAGGCAGAAATGAGCGGGAAATAAGCAGGATCCGAATGCCGGATCCGATTTCGGAATACTGCTTCCAGGAATTGACCGGAATTTCACAGGATCCGGCCGTTTCCCGCCGTACATCTTTGCCCTGGGCAAATAAGATACAGCTTTGTACGCAATTTCTCATGGATAAAACGAAAGAACTTTTTCATTTCACTTTTTCATCACTTAATATTTTGTATTAAAACACAAAATATACTACAAGATGCAGTGTGGAAAGCTCTATAATTTGCCAAGGACAGCTTATTTTATTGTTATACTTTTGGTTTTCGATATGGATAAAATTCTGAGCGACCAAATGTCATCGCTTCGAACAAGACAATTCTTTGGTACATGATGAATTCCTTTTCTTGTTTCATCAATTAATATGTCATTGTTTTTAACTTTTTCTCATTGCACATTGTTGTAATTTGGACACAAATTGATTGATCCTAAATTTACTCATCGATATGACTTATTAACCGAAGCAATAAGAACACGAATCTGTTGTGTATCAAAAAATAATCTTGTTCACTACATCAAAAATTAACCGCATAGATTGTGTCTATTTGGAAAACAAATCATGTATATATAAAATAAGCTGTCTTTGGTAAATTGTAGAGATTTTCACGCTACAGCTTGTGATATATTTTATTTTATTTTTCAATGCAATCTATTAAGTGATAAAAAAGCGAAATGAGAAAAAGGTACTTCTTTTCTCTCCGTAGAAGAGTGAATGTGATACATAGATGGGTAAGTCCCCGATTTTTTTGACTTAAGTCAAGTCATCTCTTACAAATTCCAAGTAAAGTAAAGTCAAATTATTATTAATTCAAAAGAATTTTCATGCAAGTCAAGTTCCCCTCGGACAAAAAAACCTACCTTTTTCCATTTCATTTTTGCAACACTTAATGCATTGTTTTAAAAAAGAAAAATATACCACAAAATGCAGCGTGAAAAGAACTACAATTTAAAGTAAAGCTTATTTCAAATTTGTACTTTTTGTTTCCAAAAAAAGCAAAATTCTGTGCGACCAATTTTCGACGCTGCAAAAACATCATTTCTTCTTATCTCATCTTTTTATCAATAAATACATTTGCGTAAAAAAAACAAAATATACTGTAAGATGCAGCGTGAAAAGCTCTACAATATACTAAGGAAAGCTTATTTCAATTATGTACTTTTCGTTTTCCAAAAAAGCAAAATTGGGTGCGACCAATATTCGACCCTGCGATAGGACCCTTTTTACTACATCAATGAGAAATTCCTTTCTTCTTATTTCAATAAAATGTTCTGGGTAAATTGTAGAGCTTTTCACGCTGCATCTTATGGTATATTTTATTTTTTTTAAACAATGCGTTAAGTATTGCGAAAATGGAATGGAAACAGGTAGTTTTTTTGTCCGAGGGGGAGTCTGACTAGACTTGATTCATGTCAAAAAATGACTTAACTTGCTTATCTCTGATGTGATAAGTTAGTAACTAAGTTCAGTTAGGAACCTTTCTGACTTCACTTAATTACTAACATGTCACACTCATTATGACTGCTAAGTACAATTGGTAAGAATATACATAACACTAGAACTTTTTTAATATTGCACATATCATTTCAAAATATCAGTGATAGTATTAGTTATGAAATGTAGATCCTCGAAAACAGACAAGCTCGATAACCGTATTATCAAAAATGACATCGTCGAAATGATATGTCGTTGAGCGAGTGCTGGATTTATTGCCGTAAGCAAAATTAATAAGGTGCACTTTGTTTTCATGGAAACAAAAAAAAAATTTAATGATCAATTATTGATTGAGCTAATTGGTTTTCTTTATAGATCAAACAATAAAATGTTTTACTATAAAAATCGTCTGTTATACTAGTCTTATCGATTAAAAGTAGAACCTAAATTTTGATTGTTTTTCAAAAATTTGGTATATGTTGTTATTCGTCTTCTGTTTGATAGACATGGTATTTAAACATGATTAGTGTGTGATTGTGTAGTACAGATATTTGTATTAGGTATGCGCAAGTCTAGCAGATTAAAAAAAACAGTCAATAGCAGTCTTCGGATCAAGAACTATCAATCTCTACCAGTCTTTTGATTTTTTCTGACTCACTTCCACTGTCTAGATCTAATCATGTAGCAAGATTCGTAGAGACTGGTAGTCCCTAATCCAAAGACTAGTAGTGACTGATTTGCACTGATGCATACCTAAATTACATGTTAACTCTGAAGATTGATTTAGTTAACTTCTATTCTACTAATCATTTCCATCAAGTACTTGTTTTCTGTTCATTTTCGAGGTTGACTTCATTTCTTTTAGTATTATATTTGTTCATACCTGATATAGCTGTAGCTGCTTTTGTTTTTAAATCAGGATTATTTGATTCATCAAAAATTTTTAATAATTTTTCTTTTAAACCAGATTGAACAATAATTCTTTGACAATGATCATTACCTTGAACTAGATTAACTATTAATGAACAAGTTTGTGCACGTATACTATCATTATTTTCATCTAATAATTTTGATAGAATATCAAGACCACCAAGAGTAAAAAAATCTTCTGCTGAATGAAGTTCTTCAGCCCAATGACAAAGTTCAATAAGAAATTCTTTTTTTTGTTCTTCATTTATTTGATTATCTTTTATTTTACTAATACATAATTTCATTCGTTCAATTGAAGTGTTTGCTACACTCTCTGAAACTTTAGTTGAATTGACTTGTAAAGTGTTTGAAGTTTCAGTTGAAGTGACTGATAAAGTCGGTAAATGTTCAATTGACCATTTTTCATTCTAAAAATAGTAAATATAAATTATTTCATTTAAACCTTTTGATTATCAAAGTATTTACATCTTCATTCATATGTTGAACATCAGTACTTGTAGTAAATGATGCTGATTCTTTTGATGTAAATTTAGTGATACATTGGTAAACAGTATTGAGAAAACTTCGTTTTGAATCATCAGTCATAATTTAAATGATATAATTCACAACCAAAAAAAACAAAACAATCCATATATATTTAATCGATTCAAAAAATTCCACACAAAAAGTTCTTGAATATTCTAAAAAATTCAAATAAGGAAAAGAAAAAAATATATATGAGATAACAAGTTTTCTTAGTCAATCTTGTTTCATACTCACATAACTACGTTAGGCCTCAATCATACCGAACAAGTTAATACTGAATTGACCAATGAAATCGCTAGAAACGTTAAAACACACTTAACTGATCTTTTTGAGATGATCTGACTTAAATTGAACATTCATGCGCCAATCATAGAATAGCCTGATTGGATAACGGAAGATATACATGATATATATGACGAGATTAGATAAAAAGAAGTGATGCTGCTCGAAGAAGATAACTATTATAAAAATAGCGTACTAGATTTTTAAATTCTTCTACAAACTATGAGTTTCTACAGCGACTCCGCGCAAGCAAACAATAAGAAATTTTTTTACTCCTAAAAAGTACACTATATTCATTCATTTTCACTACATTATAGAGGCTATTCTCTATTTTGATTTGTGGATTAGCTGCTTTATGTGATCGCATATTGACTTAAAACAAAGGTTAAATTGCTCCATTTTTGATGTAATTGGGGTCTTAGCAAAAGAAAAAAGAAAGAGTAAGCTCTGATGCAATAACCAATTCAAAAGTTAGGCCTTCTCTTATCGAAAGATGTCGCGCATATACCATGTAAATAAAAATTTCCTTCGACGAAAAGACTCTATTAATAATAAAAGCTATAAACAAATTTATACATGATACAGAATGAGTCAAAAGTCTTGGTATTGCATAGAAAAAATTTCTCTTTATTTCTTATTGAAAATTAAAAAATGCTTAAAATCAGTTATATAATGGTCTACGAATGATGCACAAGGTGAAAGCTAGGCATAGAATGACGTGCACAGAACGTTGCACATGTTGAATCTTATGCATGTGTCAGTTGTGCATCAAATAAAAACTCATATTTACACTTTACAAGATATTCAGAAAATGAAAGGCAGTAGAAATAATGTAATAGTATCGCATTTTAAAAACTGTACTATGTAATATTCAGTTATCTAACTAGAGCATGGAATGCAAAATGTTCGACAGTTATTATCTTATAGAATTGATATCAAGTTATTCCAGTTAGATGCAGATATCATCTTATACATCGAACTTTCTTGTTCTTGGAATAAATCTAACTTTGTAGGATTAGAACAGCAAAACAATTAAATGTTTAATAGTTATACTATATAACATAGTGTATAAGATAAGGACTTATTTCATAATAAATTTGTGTCTTCATATATTTGAGAAAAGCATCTTGCGTAAAATACATGAACTAAAAATAATTGAATAAAAATATTATAGTATTAGGGTCTGAAAGAGCTTTTCACAGTCTATCAGTACAAGAATGATATTGATGTTGATAGCTACTCATGTTTTATTTGACCGTTGTAGATTATTGGAAATCATAAGTACAATTTCCATGAAAATCTCAACCAGATTCTATATCAATCCCGTACCATTTTGTATTCATTTAAGTCATGCAATTAAAAACCAACTACAGATACCAATCTACTTTTTTATTCATTCTGGAGGGTGTGGGTGTGGGTGTGGGTGTGGGTGTGGGTGTGGGTGTGGGTGTGGGTGGGTGTGGGTGTGGGTGGGTGTGGGTGTGGGCATGGATATGGGTGAGTCTTCATGTTCTCTAAATAACTTAAATCCACCTTCACACACTCACACCCACACCCTGAACCAGCAAGAGACATACATAAGATTTCTTGAGAACCCAAAAAAGACGTATTCCAAATTCATAGAAAACTTGCAAGAGAACAATTTTTAATTGTTCATCGTCGATCGAAGTGATATTTTGCCCATAAGTAAAACTCAACGAGACGAAGAAAAACCTAAATGAATTCGTCCCAATTGATATTCGTTCTGAAGTTATGACCATTTTGCAGGCTTGTTCGCTGATAGCAAGCTGTTTATGAACAGTCCAAAAAGAAAGAATTTTTACCTTAAGCTTTGCTAATAAGTAGATCTTATGACCTTTAGAACATTCTGGAAGTTTCAGTGAAAACTGATGCTTCCTTCTCGGAATATTGAATACTAAAGAAAAGTCGTTTGTATGATACTTTTTGTGATACGTGATCGTGATTTTGAACATTTAATATCTCGAGAAGAAGGCATCCGGTTTGACTGAAAATTTCAGGGTGTTCTAAAAATCAAAAATCTTACTTATGGATGAAACTTCAGGTGAAAATTTCTTCTTTTGGACTTTTTATGAATAACTTGCCATGAGACAGAAAGCCTCTAAAATGATCATAACTTTAGAAACAAGACCGATGGAATTGAATCTTTCTATGCTTTCCTTAGTCTCACTGAATTCTACTGATGGGCAACATATCATTTCGATCACCGGTTAGCAGTTGGGCATGTTCTCTCGACAGTAATAGAAACTGAAGGAGAAACCCTCCTTGACAATATCTATTGTTGGAGATTAGCTACGGATAATCAGAGATATCTCTATGTTTCTAACGAAGGAACACATGAAGACAATATGACATCGGAGACACGAATGGAATTTTCGTGGCTGGTGGTCATGGTGGAGTTGATTGTCTCAATCAAATCAACTTTCCGACCTACATTTTTATCGATCGACCATAAGTTGTCAGTGTGTCAGATAACGGGAATCGTCGTGTGATGAAACGGAATAAATCTGCAACAGAAGGAATTGTGGTTGATGAGAGTCAATGGCAAGGGAATACTCTGACATTGTTTTTTGTGTCATCAAGAACTGTTTACATAACCGTAGGATACCACCTATATGGCAGACTCTAGAAGTCCTTGTATGATGCATTTGGCCTAAAGACACGAAACAAGGCACTGTCATTGTGGATGGAAATGATAAAGCAGCAGGTGCTAATCAGTTGAACTGACTCATGAGTTTGTCCTTCTATGGATATGGCAATCTTTATGCTGCCAATTATGAAAATCATTACGTTCAACGTTTTTCTATTGATTAAACTTATGACGATAGTTTATTTTTTACCTGTTTCTTAAATAAATCACATAAATTCGATGAAAGGAATGATTATTGTATTCGTACACGCCCAGAAGCCATCCTAGTGGGTGTATGGCGAATGCAACACCATTGTATATACGAGACAGACTCAAATCATTCAGGTTCCTTCCCTCAAGAGATGTGTCACGGAATCTGGGAACCCCCAACCATGTGCTACCGACATCAGAATCGTCCGGGACCGAATTTTTACGGTGTGAGCTGTGACTTTGGGTTCTGAATATATGCATGAGTGTATGTGTGGCAGTGTGGGTGTGGGTGTGAGTATAGAGTGTGTTTGTTACTATTGCTTTCAGTAAAATCCACACACACATGGCATCCCACACGCTTACTCATGTTAGCATCAGTGATGGATCATACTAACGCTAAACGATGATTAAGATGCGTCTTTTAGTTTTACTGGATTAGGACGACTACCCAGATAGCATGAGGTGTGGGTTCGATTCCCATAAAGTTCAACTTTTCCATCGTTCTGTCACATAATATCAATGACACTGCTTATCTCTTTCGTTCTTCACATATTAGAGCCTATAATTCACAACCACACCAACCCACATCTTTTGAGGATGTAAAACGAAGAACGAAAATTGCTTTTAAATCTTGTCCCTCACTTCATTTAAGTGAATAAAAGAAAAAAATTACGTCTTCCTTTTTAGGGAATTGATTTTATCGTTACATGCTTGGATATTACGATGTTTCGAAGGCAGCGATTTTCGAAAAATAACAAGCGCCTTCTCATGACATGAAAGTGCTTTCGAGTAGCTGTGCATATATTCATACACAGTACCTATCCACCCGTAGGAGAACGCGATGTCAGGATGATTCTGCGGAAGAGTTAGTAATTGTATTTTAAGCGCCTTTTCCAAGTATTCAAGTGCTTTTGAGTAATCGCCCAGTTCGATATACTCTGCACCTATGTTGCCATAAGAAACAGCTAAAACAGGATCATTTTCAGGCAGATTTTTTTCTTTTATTTTATGCGAGTTGTTGTAGTAATCAAGCGCTGTTGAGTGATCATTCAGATGGCTATAACAAAGACCAATGCAACTGTAGATGTAAGACAATGGCAATGAAGAGTTGTCATTTGGAAAGGTTTTTTGTCTGGTTTTTAGAGATTTCTCATAAAAATTTAGTGCTTCTTGATATTCTTCTCGATTGATTTTTAACTCACCGAACCGACCATATATAAGTTCTAGATCGCCATTGTTACTCGTGTTCTTAAGCAATTCATTGTAGAGTTCTTCGGCTTCATCTAAGTCACCCACTTTAAGCATAAGTCTACCCATTCGGTCCCACCCTGTTGATCCTTGGGTCTCTTCTTTCAGTCGTTCAGTAAGACTAGCGAGCTGAGGATCTTTTTCGTCTGAAAAACTCAACTACACCTTCCATAGACGATTATTTGCTTTCGATTGTTGAATTTCACCTACTCGGAATACTGTATGCATGGAGAACAATATTTCTTGTTCTTCTGGAAAAGCACTGTACTCGGCAATAAGAGCAAATGGTGTATCTGAAATTGATATTTTCTTCGGATCGATTGTCATGATGAATAAAACGCCTATCACTTGCTTGTCTTTTCCAATCCTATCTTCGACAAATTGCATTGCAACACGTTTTACTTTACTTGTCGATAAAAAGTTATTAAATGCTAATAGACCACCTTTGACTTCTGTCAAATGTTTAAATTCTTCTTCAGTAAACGCTTGGCCTCGATAGACAATAAAGTTCTGTTCGAAAGTGCTAGCTTGTTCTCTATGCAATTGTTGAAGCTGCTTATGAAGACTACGGATGAAGAAGCCAGTTTTAATCATAGTTGCCATGTCAAATGACCACAAAGCGCGATTAAGCATACCAAAAAGAAAGATGTTACAACTACACCACTCGACTGCTGCTTTTTGAATGTATTGTTTCTGAAAATTAATTAATTCTGATTCAGACACATCATGCTTGCGACAGTATAAAAGTAAGTTTTCGATGGAATTCTCATCATCTTCATCGATTTCTAATATTATTTCTTTAAATAGCATTGTATACATATACGATGGGGGCAGTTCATCATGACTTTCTTGACTTAATGCTGTTTCTTGTATAATTTGCTTCGGAACGAAGCTCATCGGTATAAAATCATGGTCGCATCGGTGAGCGACTTTTTTCAGTGATTCACATATAGGCTTAATTTAGTACCATCTAAGAAGGATACCCACAAACAGTAGCATGTAGGCTTCATTACGTATGGGTCAATCCTAAATCGTTTGCATTGCTGATAATGCATTTATAAAAGAAAGCTGTAAGACATCTAAATATGTTCTTATTCCTTTCGTACATAAGAACATAGATCTTTTGGGAAAAGCTATAGAAAAAAGTGGAAATATGCTCACAACGAAAAATATGACTGCAGATCAAATGGTGTTCGCCCACTTGAGAAACGTTTTTGTAATGTCTACATTGAATCTCATCCTGCCTTATGAATATGATTATCAAATTATCACGCAAACTGCTTCCGATCATTGCTGTTCAAAAGTAAACTAACATGAGAATAGTTTAGTCCTCTAAAGTCAGCGAATCATTATATAGAATGGTTTTAGATTTACTTTGAAATGAATGAGACAGTCGTAAGTTTCTAATTTTATATAAATTCTAGCTTTTTTTAAAATCAGACTTTTTCAAATAAAATCTGCTATACTTTGGTACAATCAGCCAGTATGAATGCCTATCCATTGTGTGTTGTAAATATTAACAATTCTTTTAGATGATTTACGAACATATTTTAAGAATAATACCTTGAAGTGTACACACCTTCAATCTTTGACCAATCTTTTGCCCATTGCTCGTGTCGAGCTTTGTTGCCGCAAAAAATATATACCGCGTCCAACTGCCGCATATCATGAATCTCGGGCACCAAATGTTGACCGAATGCTCCGGACGAAATGACGAAAGACTTTTCCTCATCCAACTTCTTAAGCAAGTCAATACATTGAGATGGTGTCGTGCAAATATGGACTTCATGAATAACGCGACGTAAATTCGTCAGTGTTTTCTTACAATCATCTTGTTTTTCGTCGATGTTACCGTCGACCCAGACTACTATATAGTTTTGTAGCCGACCTCTTTTTGGCCGATTAACTTTACTTACGCCGCGCCCAACGGAAGCTGTAGCCATTGTCTATTAATAGTTATTAATAAATTGTTTTTATACAGAAGTTGTGTGAAATTTAGTATGTTTATGATCTAAAAATTTGATAAATAGTTAATTTTGGCTAGTATTTATTTGAGTAATGAGAAAACTTTATTTGAACAATTTACTAATAGTAAATGAGCAATAAATAATTCATCAAATAACAGTAATAATATCATATTTTAAGAACATGTGATTGAGTAATTTGTACAAATTATTTATTCTATTTTATAAAACTCAAAAATATTCCTAGTTGTGTAAATAAACAAACCAACATCACCCCCTTTATATACAGTTTATTTTTTACTTAAAAGAACTATGGTCCATTCAACATAATTATTGCTCATTTAAATGTAAGTTGTTGGTTTGTATTAATACTGCTTCTGTGTTTCTTTTTCTGTAGACATCATTCCGCTACACAAACTGTCGCTATGCAGCACATATTTTCGAGTTTAGAGTAGTAATATAAGTAAAAAAGAGAGAAAAAAGTGTCAATAGCAGTTCTGTTTTTTTATTTTTATTTCTATTTGTACTCTTTCGAACTTGTGTTTGGCTGTTTCTGATTCTTTTTCATACACGCCATTGTTTTTCTCTTTTTCTGCCCAGAAAAAAAAGCAACTAATTCACAAAAGTTACTTTGATATTATGTGTATGCAAACACTTACGATTATTAGTACCGTGTGACAAGATAAGTTAAATCGTTTTATTGCTCATCATAGATCATCCATACGGGCTTTAACTGCGAATTGGGATGCTACTGAAAACAGTAGCAACAACCACACTTCATATTTACATTCGATTCACAGCCACATATACACCCAGAACCGATAATCATAATGACAGTCCATACTCACCCACACTTTCTGCGTATGGGAAGAATATTGTTTCGGTCGGCGATTAACGATCGGAGATGTCCCTCTTATTAGACTTCCCGATAGCACCATTGTGTTTGCCATATCTTCAAACGTAACACTGAAACTTCTCATAAATTTCACTGGCTTCTATCATGTTAAACGTAAACTTCGACTCAGAACTGAGAGGCACTCAGTTGAGCATTCAATAAATTAAGGTTGCGCGCACGATAGTGACTTTTAGCTTTCAGAAGTCGAAAGAGAAAACATAGTGATGCCTTTCTAGTCAATAATATATATGAAGAATTCATTTTGAAACCAGTTATTTTCCAAAATCATAGAATGATGGGTGAACATGGTTTGAAATTCAGGTGCAGTTTTTATTTGATTATTCCTCGTAAATGGAACAATTCAAAAGATTCGATATACTTTGTTAAAATTCACTTTACCCACAATTTATCTTGTGCAAGAATATTCGTTTTCAAGCTCATAATTTTTTTCCTAAGTTTCTTGGTAAGTTGGGTTGCAAAATCTGGCTTGCATGAGACATCGTAGCGCTAGAGGATATTGTAACTTTTTTAAAATATAGCAGAAATTATTAAACTTATCTGTTAGTCGTGAGACAAGCTACAATTTAATAAAGACTTCAAGCCGGTGTGAGTGTTGAGTTTTTCTTTGTATTCTCGATTCACACACACACACATCCACTATACCGGCACCTTTTACACATTCAAATCTAGAGCCTAAAAAGAACAATTGAAACAACCAAAACAAAAGACTGCACTTAATGTTGTCCTTTGTCCACGAAGTACTATTCCATACGTCTCCACAGGGTGTATTCGAGAAGCAACTAGATTTCATAGTTGATGATACGGATAGATTTTGTCTGTAAAAAAAGTACCAATCAAACAAACAACATGTCAGCAAAATCAATGCAACTTAATTTGAAATCTATATTTCCAGAAACAATTTGAGTGATTCTCACCTCGCATACTAATACTGAGACAAATAAAATGTGATATCTCTTTTATCAAGAAATATGAAGGTTTTTTTAAAGTCCTACAGAAAGTTTCTCACGGGTGTGGGTGTGGGTTTGGGTGTGGATGGGTGTGGGTGTGGGTTTGGGTGTGGATGGGTGTGGGGTGTGGGTGTGGGTGTGGGTGTGGATGTGGG